TCCTCCTCCTCCTCCTCTCCTCCTCCTCCTCCTCCTCCTCCTCCTCCTCCTCCTCCTCCTCCTCCTCCTCCCTCCTCCTCTCCTCCTCTCCTCCTCCTCCTCCTCCTCCTCCTCCTCCTCCTCCTCCTCCTCCTCCTCCTCTCCTCCTCCTCCTCCTCCTCCTCCCCTCCTCCTCCTCCTCCTCCTCCTCCTCTCCTCCTTCTACCTCCCTCCTCCTCCCTGGCCTCATCCTCGTTCCTCCTCCTCGTTTTCCTCCTCCTCCTCCTCCTCCTCCTCCTCCTTTTCGTCCTCCCCCTCCTCCTTCTCCCTCCCTCCTCCTCCCTTAGCCTCGTCCTTGTCCTCCTCCTCCTCCTCCTCCTCCTCCGCCTCCTGCTCCTCCTCCTCCTCCTCCCCCCCTCCCCCTCCCCCTCCCCCGCCTCCTCCTCCTCTCCTCCTCCTCCTCCTCCTCCTCCTCCTCCTCCTCCTGCTCCTCCTCCTCTTTCTACCTCCCTCCTCCTCCCTTGGCCTCGTCCTCCTCCTCCTCCTCCTTCTCCTCCTCCTCCTCCTCCTCCTGGTGCTGCCGCGACCCGAGCACCCATCCCACTTTGGAATGGGTGTCCACTGGGGTAGGCGTGTGGGGAACGTCCGACACCAAAGAATGCTCGCAGCGCTCAGAGGCCGGCTTCGGGCCCCGGGACCGTCAGAAAACCGCACAACGCAGGAAAACACGAGGAGCTCGGCAGCCGTCAACGGGCCCCGAAGCCGACGAAGAAGGGGGCAGCGCAAAAGGCGTATTCATGTGCACACTTCTCTTATCTCGCCGCGGGATCCACAGCCCCGAGATGGGGCGGAGAAGCGGAGAAGCGAGGTAGGAGGAGGAAGGGCGAGGAGGAAGCCAGGAGGAAGGGAAAGCCAGCCAGCAGCGGAGGCCCCCGACCAGGGGGGGGAAAGGAAGGAAGGGGGGCCCAGGCGGACGGCGCAAGCCAGCGCGCCTCCTGGTTCAACCTTCAATCAAAGAACATGGAAATATTATATGTGTCACGGTATACCCTCATGGTGGGATGAGGTCACCCGCGCTCGCCAGGATGGCCACGTTGCCCCTGGCGAGCGCGCTCTGGAGCCGGCGCCAAGCCATTGAGATGCACTCACTCCGTTGAGCATCACCCAAACCATCGCCGAGGCTGCGGACAAGCGACACCATGGATTCGCAGGCCGGCCGAAGGTCTCGAAGCACGCCGGAACCAGGTTCAAGTGCGGGTATTTCCGGCGCTTGTAACCCTCGTGGTGACGAACGAGCACACCCTCCTTGTCGCTCATGGCACTCGTGTCTGCCACTGTGCGGGGCGTCGGCGTGACGATGGCGACGTCTGACCAGACCTGGTCTCCCCTGGCATCCCACCACATGATGTCGGGATGCTTGTCACCCTCCACTTGGCCGTCATGGGGCTCAATGTGGACCGGGGATGCGACCGTTTCCCGCAGCAGGGCAGCCAGCTCGTCCCGCACCCCATCATGTCGTACAGCGATCATGCGCGTGCGTGTGCGTGCGCGCGTGCGCGTGCGTGTGCGGGTGCGTGTGAGTGTGCGTGTGCGTGTGCGTGTGCGTGTGCGTGTGCGTGTACGTGTGCGTGTGCGTGTGCGTGTGCGTGTGCGTGTGCGTGTGCGGGTGCGTGTGCGTGTGCGTGTGCGTGTGCATGTGCATATGCATGTGCGTGTGCGTGTGCGTGTGCGTGTGCGTGTCCGTGTGCGTGTGCGCGCGCGTGCGCGTGCGCGAGTGCGAGCGCGTGCGCGTGCGCGTGCGCGTGCGCGTGTGCGTGCGCGTGCGCATGTCCGTGCGAGTGCGCGTGCGCGTGCGCGTGCGCGTGCGCGTGCGTGTGCGTGTGCGTGTGCGTGTCCGTGTGCGTGTGCGTGTGCGCGGGCGTGCGTGCGCGTGCGTGTTTGCGTGCGTGTGCGTTGCGGTGCGTGTGCGTGTGCGTGTGCGTTGCGGTGCGGTGCGTTGAGCGTGGCGTGGGGCGTGTGGCGTGTATGCGTATGTAGCGTATGTTCGTGTGTGCGTCATGTGCGTTTGGTGCGTGTGGTGCGTGTGTGCTTGTGTGCGTGTGTGGCGTGTGTGCGTGTGTGCGTGGGTGCGGTGTGCGTGGGTGCGTGTGTGCGTGTGTGCGTGTGTGCGTGCGTGCGTGCGTTGTGGAATCGTGGTGCGTGTGTTCGTGTGTGCGTGTGTGCGTGTGTGCGTGTGCGGGTGTGCGTGTGCGGGTGTGAGTGGGTGTGTGTGGGTGTGTGGCGTGTGAGTGTGTGTGGGTGTGTGTGTGTGTGTGTTGGTGTGTGTGGGTGTGTGTGTGTGGGTGTGTGTGTGGGTGTGGGTGTGTGTAGGTGTGTGTGGGTGTGTGGGGGTGGGTGTGGGTGTGTGTGTGTGGGTGTGGGTATGGGTGTGGGTGTGGTGTGGGTGTGGGTGTGGATGTGGGTTTGGGTGTGGGTGTATGTGTGTGTGTGCGTGTGTGCGTGTGCGCGTGTGCGCGTGTGCGCGTGTGCGCGTGTGCGCGTGTGCGCGTGTGCGCGTGTGCGCGTGTGCGCGTGCGCGTGCGCGTGCGCGTGTGTGTGTGTGTGGGTCTGCGTGTGTCTATGTGTGTGTGTCTGTGTGTATGTGGGTGTCTCTGTGTGTGTGTCAGTGTGTGTGTGTGTCTGTGTGTGTCTGTGTGTGTCTGTGTGTGCATGCGTGCGTGCGTGCGTGCGTTCGTTCGTGTTTTTGTGTGCGTGTGCTTGTGCGTGTGCGTGTGCGGGTGCGTGTGTCTGTGTACGTCTGTGTGTGTATGTGTGTGTGTGTGCCTGTGTGTGTCAGTGTGTGTATGTGTCTGTGTGTGTGTCTGTTTGTGTGTCTGTGTTTGCATGCGTGCGTGCGTGCGTGCGTGCGTGCGTGCGTTCGTGCGCGCGTGTGTGTGTGTGCGTGTGCTTGTGCGTGTGCGTGTGCGGGTGCGTGTGTGTGCGTGTGTGTGTGTGTGTGTGTCAGCATGCGTCTCTCGCGCAAGCGCCGCGCACATTCGTCTTTGACGCCACCGACAGCTACGAGAATGCAGAACGGTTCCTTCCCAAAATGTGGCTGGCCCTGTCATTCATGGGAGGGTGCATGGACTTCTGGTTAAGGGACTTGAAAAGGAAGGCTATATTGCAGCATCGCTGATGCACTTCAGGTTTCCTCTGGTCCCTCCTCCTCTTCCGGCTCCCGATACGTCCATCCCTCACGCTCCTCCCCCAGCTCCTCCTCCCCCTCTCCCTCCTTCTGGCCCCTCCTCCTCCTCCTCCTCCTCCTCCTCCTGACTCCCCCTTCGCCTCCTCCTCCTTCTCCTCCTCGCCCCCTCCCACCCCTTCATATCCCCCCCCCGAGAGAACATGCTGCCGAGAGGGGCGCCACTATCTTGTCGTAGTCCGCCCAGAACTTCGCGCTGGGGAACGCCTGGGCGCGCCAGCGCGGCGCTCCAAAGGTTTGGACGCCCGAAGTGGGTACGGAAAGAATGGGCACAATGCCCAGCAACAAATCTTGTCCCAAACCAGCAGCGGCCGCTGTCGGGCAGGCGGCCTTCCTGTCTTGCATGGGCACAGGCCGCGGCGGCGTGGACAGCGAGCCCTGCTCAAAATGAACAGGATCCGCTGTTGGGCATTGTACCCATTCTTCCCGTGCCCATTTCGTTCGTGCAGAAAGGGCACGGGGCCGCCCGCGCGCCCGGCCCCGGGGCGACGAGGAGGGGCACGGGCGAGGGCGCCGCGCGGGGCCGCGCGGGGCCCACGGGCCGACGGGCGCAGGGCCGCCGCCGAAACTTCGGTGCCCCCACTGGGGCAAGATGCTGCCACGACGCGCGCAGGAGAGAGCCCAGAAGCGAATCGATGAGTCGGATCGGCGATCGAGGCGAATCGAATCGTCGGAGATCGGCGGCCCAAAGTCGGGAGAAGTCCGACTTCTCCCGACTCTGGGCCGCCGACCTCCGCCGACAAGCACATCCGCGCGCAAGAAAGGGATCGCCCAAAAAATTGAGCAACTTGGAACATGACAAAATTCACCGAAGTTTTGCTTGGTGTCCTGTTGAGCCCGAGAAGTCAAATCGGGGGGGAATCGGCAAGATGGTAGGTCTCCACTGCGAGACCGGAGTCCAAATCGGAAGCTGAAGACGACTCGAATCGGAATCAGAAGCCATCGAAGTCGAATCGAATCGAATGGAACCGGAGGAATCGAAATGAGCCCTGCACGCGTGGCTCAGGATACGTTCCAGGAGCGTCGAAGCACATGGCGGCCCTGGTTTCTGGAGCCCGTGCGGGGCATCATGTAAATCTTGAGCATCCGGGAAGTTCTGGAACGCATCCGCATCATGACTTCTTGCTCCTCTGAGCAACGCACCACCGAAACGGTGTTGACTTCAGCCCCGAGGAGTGACTGGACGAAGCCCCAAAGAGGCCCCCCCATACAGGAGGCCCCCGACAGGCCCAAATGCAAGCCCCCCGAGCCATCCCTAAAACCGAGAGGCCTCACAATGGATCCCCACGGGCATCCAAGGGGCCTCTGACCTACAACCCAGGCACGGTGGCGGGATAGGCCGAAGACCACAGCATCCGCCGCCCCCTGTTGCTTTAGCAAAGGGGTGCCTGGCGTCCCAGACCCTCTCGGTTTTGGTTTTGGTTCTTTTTCCAAAACAGCTCCCCCTGGGGCTTCGGCCCGTCCCGCCGGCCACCCGGAAGGCGCTGAATTCCCCAATTTCCTGCCCAAGACGGCTCCCTGAAACGGCCGTTTCGCTCGGGACATCCTCAACAAATCGCGAAGATGGCCCAAGATGGCCTCCAAGTCTGCCCAAGATGGTGAAAGACAGCCTCCAAGACGGCCCAAGAGAGCCCAAGACGGCCCAAGACGGCCCAAGAGGCCCCCCAGAAACCTCCCAGACGGCCCAAGAGGCCTCCAAGAGATCCTCCAGGAGGGCCCGAAGAGGCCAAAATCATTAATTTTCCTTAGGTGTTTGAAGGATTTGGGAATTTGCTTCTTCTCGGCATTCCGACGGCTCAAGACGGCCCAAGAGGCCCCCAAGATCGCCCAAGAGGCCCCCAAGAGGGCCCCATGACGGCCCAAGTGGCCTCCAAGATGGCCCCAAGAGGGCTCCAAGACGGCCCAAGAGGCCTCCAACACGCCCAAGATGGCCTCCAAGACGCCCAAGATGGCCTCCAAAATGGCCCCGAAGAGCCCCAAGAGGGTCCCCCGTTGGCCCAGAAAGGCCCCCAAGACGGCTCCCGACGGCGTCAGACGTGCCAGGAATCTTGGCCGAAGTTGGCTCGAAGCTGGCCCAAGACTGCCCAAGAGGCCCCCAAGAGGGCCTCCAGGAAGACCAGAAGAGGCCAAAAACATTGATGTTCCTGAGGTCATTGACGAATTTTGACATTTCCTTCTTTTCGGCCTTCCGACGGCCCGAGACGGCCCAAGAGCCACCAAAAATCGCCGAAAGATCGCCCAAGAGGCCTCCAAGACGGCCAAGATGACCTTCAAGATGCCCACGTGTTCCCCGAAGGTTTTCCAAACCGATTCGGGGAACACATGGTCCGATGGCTTGGCAGGTCTGGCCTCAACGTTCGGCCACATAGGCGCTTCCAAAAAGGCAGGGGGCGGCGGTGATTCGCCGTAGGCGCCTTCGATCCACCGCCCTCTGTGCTTGTCACAAAGGTGCCTGGCGTGCTAAAAAAGTAAAAAACCTAAAAAAAAAAAAAAAAAAGCAAAAAAAAAGAAAATAACAAAAAAAAAAAAAAAAAAAAAAAAAAATAAAAAAAAAAAAAAAAAAAAAGAAAAAAAAAAAAAAACAAAAAAAAATAAGGTCTTTGGATTTGTCCAAAAGAACTCCCCCTGGGGCTTCGGCCCGCCCCGCCGGCCACCCAGAAAGGACCGCAAAATGTATATGCTAATACCTTTCCCGTTCCAAGATGGCCCAAGATGGCATCTAAGACGGCTCAGATGGCCCGGGATGGCCTCTAAGTTCGCCCAAGATGGTCCAAGATGGCCTCCAAGACGGCCCAAGAGGGTCGAGGATGCCTCAAAGTCAGCCCGAGAAGCCTCCAAGACGGCCCAAGCTGGCTACAGGATGGCCCAAGACGGCCCAAGAGGCCCCCAAGAGGTCTCCGAGACGGCCCAAGAGGCCCCCAAGAGGTCTCCGAGACGGCCCAAGACGGCCCAAGAAGCCCAAATCATTGACGTTCCATCGGTTTTCAAGGATTCTGGACTTTGCTTCTTTTCGGCCTTCCGACGGCCCGAGACAGCCCAAGAGCCCCCAAAAATCGCCCCAAGACAGCCAAGGAGGCCTCCAAGATGGCCCCAGACCAGCCCAAGACGCCCCCACGACGCTCCCAAGTGGGCCCCAAGACGGCCCAAGAGGCCTCCAAGACGCCTAGGATGGCCTCCAAGACTGCCCTGGAGTACGCCAAGAGGGCCCTAAATCGGCCCAAAGAGTTAAGCATGGACCGACCGTCCCGGCATTCCTATAGTCCTACCACGAAATGTTCTTAGAACCCAAAAATGTTCTCATAACAAAAACAATGCTCTTAGAACAAAAAACCGGTGTGGTGAAATTAGCCTGGCGAAGGACTCAACCATACGCAGTTGTGAATACCGCAATTGTGAATCGATTCTTCGGTGGCGCTCCCTATGGGGTCACGAACCGTATGAAGGGGTGTGCCGAATTGCGTGATAGGGTACACAACACGAACGAAAAGGATAGGTCTGAGTATGAAAGCTTGAGCGCGGGCGAGTCTAAGCGCGAGTGAGGCTGATTCTGAATGAATATGCGTGCGATTGATTCTATTTGCATGACTGCGAGCATGGAGTCGCCTAATGTAAATGCATACGACTGTGAATGGTTTGGGTCTGCCTGACTCTGAGAACTCGCGACACTGAGCGTAGCCTCCGCAAGGAGTTTTCCTGGGAACCCCGACGGCAGCGCCCGCGCGCCGCGATGCTCATGTCGGCACGCCCCACACGAGGATCGCGCCCGCTTCCTCCTCTTCTTTTCCTTCCTCTTTGCCCACGCACTCCACAGTTCAAGGCTGCGGGCGCCGCGCTACGCGCAGGTCGGACGTCGACGACGGACGACGACGACGAAGAAATCGGTCCTAGGGAAGCTGTCGGGACCACCAGTTCCCAATGGGGCCACGAAATGTGTGAGGGGTGTGCCGAATTGGGAATGCGGGACGAATGCGGGCGGCGCTGGGGCCTTCGGTGCAGCTCCCTATGGAGCCACGAAGCGTGTGAGGGGTGTGCCGAAGTGGGTGTGCGGGACGCATGCGGCCGGCGGCACTCGGGCCTTCGGTGGCCGAATTGGGCATGCGGGACGCATGCGGCCGGCAGCACTGGGGCATTCGGGGGCCACGAAACGTGTGAGGGGTGTGCCGAATTGGGTGTGCGGGACGCATGCGGCCGGCGGCACTGGAGCCCTCCGGTGGAGCTCCCTATGGGGCCACGAAGCGTGTGAGGGGTGTGCCGAATTGGGTGTGCGGGACGCATGCGGG